GAGGTGGAACAATGTTTTGTACAGTATGTTATGCCAATTGAGCTTGATGTCCCCTGTGACTATGGTCCCAAGCCCGCAGGATCAACTACTCGGTCACTCTGGGTAGCTGTTCAGCCCATTTTTTAATTGGATTGTTAATATTTTTGTTGTTGAGGTGTTGGAGTTTTTTGTTTTTGTTTTTTTAAAAATTTTAGAGGTAAGTCCCTTGTCAGATATGTCATTGCCGAATAATTTTTCCCAATCTGTAGGTTCTCTTTTTACTCTTTTGGAGAAGTCTTTTGAAGCACATAAAAATTTAACTTGTAGAAGGTCCCATTCATCTAGTTTATGTTCACTTCTTTTTGCATTTTGGGTTATGCTTGACAAGGGCTGTTAATCCTTATGAAGCAGACTGCTTCATCTTTCTCCCACAGAGCAGCTGGAGTGTTAACACCACCGACCTTTTGGTTAGCAGCCGAATGGTTTAACCACTGCACCACTAGAGCTCCTTTGATTCTGTATAGACAATTCTTAAAAGAATGTAATATTCAAAGAAAGTGTTTTCTTACTACTTGAGCTAAACTGTTGTTTTGGTTTTAACAAGACTTCAAGGGATATTTTTGGTTTAGAGTTTAAAGATTATCTCACAGCAATAGCTTCAGAGTTTCATCCAAACTTCGTGACTCCAGGAAGTCTGGAGTCCGTGAGATTTCGAAATTCTGTTCTGTGTTTTCACATTTTGATCAGGATTCACATATGGAATCTTTGATCAAACTGTTCAGTAATGGTAGCTAGGCACCATAGCTAGGCATCCAGTTCTTCTGGGCTCATGGCAAAGGAGGCAGTTGTTCATGAGGCAATTATCCTCCTTTTATTCCTTATACCTTCCCTCTATTCCTGACTCTCCTTCCTCTGTTGTTCCAGGCAAATAGACACCAGTTAAAATGCCTTGGAGGGCTACTTGCAAGCTTTTAAGACCCCAGGAACTACACATCAAACTGGGAGGTAGAACAGGCACTAACCATGTTATTAGCCCAATCAGCTGGATATCCCATGAAAACATGACCCTAAATCTCCAAACCAAGACTACTATTTTGGTTGTTTTAATAAATATATCTATCTCAGAACTTTTGCCAATTCAACTTTTTCGAGGTGTATAACTTACTGACAGGAATTACAATAATCAATTGAGCAACCCTTCCTTAACACCATGTTTCCATCACAGTAAACCCCCCTTCCCTCCTCCCTTCTGCCTCTGTTGATGTTGTTATGTGCTGTCAAGTTGGACCCGACTCATAGCGACCCCTCCTTGGGTTTCTGAGGTAGTAGATTGCCCCATCTTCCTTCCAAGGAGTGGCTGGTGGGT